TTAAGAAAGAAGAGAAGCAACAGAAGATGCTGAAGTACAAGAAAAATAACTTGAGTGAGAAAATACTGGTCCTTCTATCGTTGCTCAATAGAGAGCATTTTAACATACTGCGTCTGTGCCTGGTTTGCCAGTTGTACGGCTGTGGAGAGGAAAGCACTCCAGAGAGTTATCATCACAGCCCAGAAGATTATTGGCTGTCCTCTCCCGTTCCTGGAGGAATTGTATAGCTCTCGATGTTTGAAAAAAGCAAAGAACATTTTGCAGGATTTGTCACACCCTGAACACTCCCTGTTTGAACTGCTGCCTTCGGGCAGAAGATATAGGACAATTAAACAAGGACAAACAGATTAAAAAACAGTTTTTATTCGAGAGCTATTATTGCTTTAAATGCTGTATGAAATTGGAATTTGGGTGACATTGGTGGTTTAAGTTGCAATGTGAACCTTAAGGGAGTTATGGGATGGTTGTGAATGGTTGTGTGAGTGTATATGAGTATGATGTAGATCACCGAAATGATTGCATTTTTAATTTTGTTGTACTATGTACAATGACAATAAAGTTTATTATTATTATTATTATTATTATTATTATTATTATTATTATTATTAGAAAGAGGTGGAATGTCGATCCCTTCTTGAGAGACATTTAACTTCTCTCTCTCACTTCCTTACTGAGAGACATTGCATTTCTCTCTCTCTCTCTCTCTCTCTCTCTCTCTCTCTCTCTAAATGCTGGGTCATCAGCCCCTGCGCTCCAAACGGGACTCAAATAATTAACCAGCTAATGAGGAATAAACAGTTCATATATTTTACTTTGCAAAGCAAAGCAGTTCCTTGGCTTCCCCTCCGGCAAACCTCCACGGAGGCAAAGTGAAGTGCCGTGCGGCTGGAGACGATCCTGCGGCCTCACAAACCCTCCGTGAAGAGTGGCGTGCTCTCTTTGTGCAACCCGCTGAATGGCTCTGAAGCCAGCCCCTCCATCTTCTACCCTATCTCCTGATCCCGGCCTGTCCTTAACATCTGCAGCAAGTCAAGGGTCTCGTTAATCTTAGCTCGCGCCGTTAGGATTCAACACCCCGCAGTTCAGAGCTATAAGAAGCCTGGACCCTGCCGATCCAAAGGTGGATTAATTCCAGAAATCCACACAAATCCCAACCCAGGCCCAGGCGAGGGTTTCCTGCTAAACGCCGTCTTCCAGCACCGAGGGCACCAAGAGTGCCACCCTGGGCACGAATCAAAGAGGGGATTACTTCCAAACGCTTTCTAGGGGCTTCTGACCCAACAGAGAACATAAGAACATAAGAGAAGCCAATGTTGGATCAGGCCAGAGGCCCATCTAGTCCAACACTCTGTCACACACTGGCCAAAAAGACCAGGTGCCATCAGGAGGTCCAGCCGTAGGGCCAGGACACGAGAAACCCTCCCACTGTTGACCCCCCCTCAAGCACCAAGAATACAAGCATCCCTGCCCCAGACATAAGAACATATGAGAAGCCACTGTTGGATCAGGCCAATGGCCCATCCAGTCCAACACTCTGTGTCACACAGTGGCCAAAACCCAGGTGCCCTCAGGAGGTCCAGCAGTGGGGCCAGAACACTAGGAGCCCTCCCACTGTTGACCCCCCCCAAGCACCAAGAAGACAGAGGATCACTTGCCCCAGACTGAGAGTTCCTATAAGAACATCAGAGAAGCCAATGTTGGATCAGGTCAATGGCCCGTCCAGTCCAACACTCTGTCATGCAGTGGCCAAAAATACCAGGTGCCATCAGGAGGTCCAGCAGTGGGGCCAAAACACTAGAAGCCCTCCCACTGTTGCCTCCCCCAGCAACAAGACTACAGAGCATCCCTTGCCCCTATCTATACCTTGTGGCTAATAGCCACTGATGGACTTCTGCTCCATATGCTTATCATAAGAACATAGGAGAAGCCAATGTTGGATTAGGCCAATGGCCCGTCCAGTCCAACACTCTGTCACGCAGTGGCCAAAAATACCAGGGGCCATCAGGAGGTCCAGCAGTGGGGCCAGAACACTAGGAGCCCTCCCCCTGTTGACCCCCCCCCCAAGCACCAAGAAGACAGAGGATCACTTGCCCCAGACTGAAGACACTGAGGGACTTCTGCCCTGTATGTTTATTCAATTCCCTCTCAAAGCAGTCCATGTGTGTGAATTCCATGTGTTAACCGCACGGAAGATACAGAGAAATCAGGATTCAGATAGGGTACAAATGGTGGTACGGTCACGATATGGAGACCAACTGAGCTGCGTGAAGGCTGTGAATAGAACTCCATCAATCTGGCTCTGAAATTTCCATGTGCAACGAGCGCGCTTTCCTACTGGTAGCTTGGGGCTCTGCAATACCCACTGAAGTAGGAAGCCGCCCACTGTGGTTGAGAAACTGAGCTGTGACATCTAAGTGTGAGAGTTGTTGTTCGGTCGCACATTCGAATCTGACTCTTCGCGACCCCACAGACCACCTCACGCCAGGCCCTCCTGTCTTCCGCCGTCCTCCGGAGTTCGCTTAATTTCATGTTCGTTGCCTCGATAACACTGTCTGACCATCTCATCCTTTGCCGTCCCCGTCTTCTTTGCACTTCTGTCTCTCCCAGCATCAGGGCCTTCTCCTCCAGTGAGGGCTCCCTTCTCATTGGGTGGCCAAAGTATTGGAGCTCCAGCTTCAGTCTCTGGCCTTCCAGGGAACAGTCAGGGTTGATTTCCTTGAGGATGGACTGATTTGATCTTCTTGCAGTCCAAGGGACTCTCAGGAGCCTTCTCCAGCACCATAATTCAAGAGAGGCCCAAGTTCAAATCCCCAGGTGCAAAGCCTTAGGAACCCACCCGACCACTGCAGTCACCAACGGGAGCCCCACTTTGGGAGCCCCCGCTTCTGAGATCAGGTGGGTGGCATCCCGGGAGAGGGCCTTCTTGGCCACGGCACCAAGATTACAAACCTCTCTCCCCAGACAGCCTGAGCTGTCCCCCTTTGGTTGCCATCATTCTCCCAGTGATCTCTCTCTCCTGCCCAATGTTTTAATGGCTGTTTTTGTCTGTGTCTGTGTATTTCCTTTGCTTTTAATTGTTTTAATGGTGTGTTGTTATCTGTTTTAATGGTTAAGAACATCAGAAGAGCCCTGCTGAATCAGACTAGTGGTCCATCCAGTCCAGCATCCTGCCTCATACAGGGGACAAACCGGTTCCTCTGGAGGGCCAACAGCAGGGCAGAGAGGCCGAGGCCTTCATTAGAACGTCAGAGAAGCTCTGCTGGATCAGACCAGTGGTCCACCTACCTGCCTCACACAGCAGCCAACCAGTTCCTTGGGAGGGCCAACAACAGGGCAGAGAGGCCGAGGCCTTCATAAGAACATCAGAAGAGCCTTGCTGGATCAGGCCAGTGGTCCATCCAGCCCAGCATCCTGTCTCACACAGGGGCCAACCAGTTCCTCTGGGGGGCCAACAACAGGGCAGAGAGGCCGAGGCCTTCATAAGAACATCAAAAGAGCCCTGCTGGATCAGACCAGTGAGGGTCCATCTAGTCCAGCATCCTGCCTCACATAGTGGCCAATGAGTTCCTCTGGAGGTCCAACAACAGGGCAGAGAGGCCGAGGCCTTCATGAGAACATCAGAAGAGCCCTGTGTCAGCTAGCTGCCAAAGAGTTCTGTGTAACATTTGTGCGTTCTCTCAAGTGCCAGCCTGTCTCTCCCCTGCTCATGCCTGCTGCTGACATTCCTTTCTGTAAATGCTAGTAGTATGCTTGGTAACATGTTATCTTCCAAGGTTTACAGGTGCAGAGTGGTGTCTTCTGCTTTTATCTATAATGAGCTAGCGCATGGGAATGAAATAATTGTTTATCTGTTTCAGGCCGTTGGGCTCCCAGGCTTTTCGGCGCGAGGTTTAACAGACCCGTGAAAGCGGGAACCATAATGATTGGTTACGTCTTTGTATGAATCTGTTTAATATCTTGTGCCCTGCATTATTGGGTCATTCAAAACACTCCTGCTGTTCCAGCTTCTTCATTGCTTTAATAAACACTACTGTTTCATACACGTGTGTTCATCTGAATGCGTGGGGGATCGGACGCCCTGCTGGGTCAGACCAGTGGTTCGTCTAGTCCAGCATCGTGCCTCACACAGGGGCCAGCCAGTTCCTCTGGAGGTCCAACAACAGGGCAGAGAGGCCGAGGCCTTCATAAGACCATCAGAAGAGCCCTGCTGGATCAGACCAGTGGTCCATCCAGTCCGGCATCCTGTCTCACACAGAGGCCAGCCAGTTCCTCTGGAGGGCCAACAACAGGGCATAGAGGTCGAGGCCTTCATAAGGACATCAGAAGAGCCCTGCTGGATCAGACCAGTGGTCCATGTAGTCCAGCATCCTGTCTCACACAGGGGCCAGCCAGTTCCTCTGGAGGGCCAACAGGGCAGAGAGGCCGAGGCCTTCATAAGGACATCAGAAGAGCCCTCCTGGATCAGACCAGTGTTCTACCTAGTCCAGCATCCTGTCTCACACAGTGGCCAGCCAGTTCCTCTGGACGGCCAACAACAGGGCACAGAGGCCGAGGCCTTACCCTAATGTTGCCTCCTGGCTTTGGGATTCAGAGGATTAGTGCCTCTGAATGGGGAAGTTCCCCTCAGTCCCCATGGCTAGTAGCCATTGATACACTTACCCTCCATGAATCTATGTAAGCCCCTTTTCAAGCTGTTTACTCCTGTGGCCATCACAACGTCTGGCAGTGAATTCCACATTTGAATCACTCTCTGTGTAAAGCAGTGTTTCATTTTTCCTTTTTTTGGGGGTGGGTGGGTGGGTGGTTTTTATTATGTATGTTTTTAATCAGTTAGCTGCCTCGGCAGCCCCGATGAGAACAGAAAGGCCAGGGATACATTTTGTCAATAAAATCAATCAATAAAACCTTTGCCATCATGCAGCCAACACACTTGGGGAACCTCAGTCATCCAATCCACTAGCAGGTCAGCCGGAGGGATAAATGTGGCCCGGTGGCCGTACCTTGCCTTCCGGAGTCAGCTTCCAGATGACGGAGAAACTGAGCCTGTCGGCCATGGGGTTGAGGCTGCACAGCTCTTCACAGAGCAGTCTGGGTAACATGGGGACCACCTGGGGGGAGAAAAAGGATCACTGGTTAAAAAAAATCTGCCTACTTTCCCCAGAAAAGGCTCACCACAAAAGAAGAAGAGGAAGAAGAGGAAGAGGAAGAGGAAGAGGAAGAAGAAGAAGAAGAAGAAGAAGAAGAAGAAGAAGAAGAAGAAGAAGAAGAGAAAGAAGAGATTGGATTTATACCCTGCCCTTCACTACCCAAAGGAGTCTCAGAGCGGCTTAGAACCTCCTTTCCCTTCTCTTCCCCACAACAGACACCCTGTGAGTTAGGTGGGGCTGAGAGAGCCCAGACAGAAACAGCTCTTTCTCAAGGACAGCTCTTATCAGAACTACGGCTTGCCCAAGGTCATCCAGCCAGGTGGAAGTGGAGGAGTGGGGAATCAAACCCGGTTCTCCCAGATTAGAGTCCACACACTTAACCATGACACCAAACTGGCTCCCTTGTCCACAAATGATCATGAAGCTTGTGGGACCAGCCAGGACGAGCCAGGAGAAAGATGCGTTATGCACGACACTCAACTCATGGGCCTTCTTTCCAGAGGAAGCCGTGGCGGTTGGTAGCTTAGAAACACCCCCTCCCACTGAAAGAAGAAATCTGCCCATGATTGGGAGACCATGGTTCACAGAAACACACTGCAAGGGACCCCAAAGGTCATCTAGTCCACCCCCTGCAAAATGCAGGAAATTCACAGCTACTCCCCCACACATGCACACAGTGACCCCTGCTCTATGCCTAAAAGATGGCAAAAAACCTCCAGGATTCCTGGACCGATCTGGCCTAGAGAAAAATTCCTTCCTGACCCCAAAGTGGAGATCAGCAATACCCTGGGCATGTGAGAAAGAGCCACAAATGCGAAGCATTGGCTGCCAAAACGACCTGCCAAAAAGTGAGTTACAAGAAGAACCCTGCTGGATCAGAACAATAGTCCATCTGGTCCAGCATCCTGTCTCACATAGTGGCCAACCAGTTCCTCTGGACAGCCAACAACAGGGCAGAGAGGCTGAGGCCTTCATAAGAACATGAGAAGAGCCCTGCTGGATCAGACCATTGGTCCCTCTAGTCCAGCATCCTGTCTCACAGTGGCCAACCGGTTCCTCTGGAGATCCAACAACAGGGCACAGAGGCCGAGGCCTTCTCAAGAACGTCAGAAGAGCCCTGCTGGATCAGACCAGTGAGGGTCCATCTAGTCCAGCATCCTGCTTCACACAGTGGCCAGCCAGTACCTCTGGAGGGCCAACAACAGGGCAGGGAGGCCGAGGCCTTCATAAGAACATCAGAAAAGCCCCTGCTGGATCAGACCAGTGGTCCATCTAGTCTCACTCATCCTGTCTCACTCAGTGGCCAACCGGTTCCTCTGGAGATCCAACAACAGGGCGTAGAGGCCAAGGCAGAAGTTTTCTCCTACCACTATGATTCAGATGTTTCTTGCCTCTGACTGTGGAGGCTCCTCTAAGTCACCAGGTCTAATAGCCACCGACTGACTTCTCCTCCACGAATCTGTCCAAACCCCTTTCAGAGACAATGGCCTGTGGCCATCCCTATATCCTCTCGCAGTGAATTCCAATTTGCGGAATTCAGAGCCAATGTGATTCTGCAGACCAAACATGGGGATGGTTGGGATCTGTGTACATCCAGTGGCGTCTCACTAGGCATTGCAGGAGGGAGCCAGTGTGTGCTAGATTAGATCTCATCTAAGAAGTCAGGAGGGAAAAAAAGGTTGTGCAACACAGAATGGTCAAACTCCCCCAAACCCCCACCCCACCCCCCAGGCCAGACAGTTCAATCAGCAGTGGTTATCTGCTCAACAGAGGAAAAGGAGGAGGAGGAGGAGATTGGATTTATACCCAGCCCCTCACTACCCAAAGGCTTACAAACTCCTTTTCCTTCTCCTCCCCACAACAGACACCCTGTGAGGCAGGTGGGGCTGAGAGAGCTCTTTCGAGAACTGCTCCTTCAAGAACAGCTCTGACAGAACTGTGGCTTGCCCAAGGTCATCCAGCAGCTGCAAGTGGAGGCGAAGGGAATCAAACTCGGTTCTCCCAGATCAGAGTCCGCACACTTCACCACTACACCGAAGTGGCTCTCAGTGACCAGTGGAGGCCTTGGAGAGCATTCTTTCCGGCTCGGCGAAGCAAAACCATCTGTCGTAACAGGATTACTCCCTTCCTCGAAGGTTCTGCGGCCAGCGCATGTGGTAGGGTTGCCAGCCTCCAGGTGGGGCCTGGAGATCTCCCGCTATTACAACCGTCCTCCAGAGATCAGTCCCCCATGAGAAGATGGCTGCTTTGGAGGGTGGGCCCTATGGAATTTTTCCCCGCTGAGGTCCCTCCCCTCCCCAAACCCCACCCTCCGCAGGCTCCGCCCCCAAAATCTCCAGGTATTTCCCAACCCAGAGCTGGCAACCCCAGCGTGTGGCCTTGTTCCCTTTCAGCCCTGTGAGGCAGAACAAGGCCGCTCCACCGGCCAACCAAGGCCACCGTCAAGGGCGAGCCAGGATTCGAACCCGGCTCTGCCGCATCTAACGCTCTTTTGCCAGCATGGCTCGGCTGACTATCGATAAGCGACGCCGGGCAGGTAAATGAACGTTTACGACCTCTTTATACTGTTTCCCAAATTGATTCGACCTTTTCCCGAGGCGATAAAAGACCCTGCAGGGCGGAATGCTGACAGCTGTCACCTCCGAACAAGCGGCGACGGGGGCGGAAAAGGTAGGCGGTGAGCAAACAGACGCTGGGAGGCTAAATGGGCTGCCTTTGGGTTGCACTCCGATTAAGTGCGAGTGCAAAGGCGGCTGTCTAATCATTATCCATGCTTCTCCGACTCACCTGTGGACTATACCGGTACTCTGCCCGCCCTCAGGAGAGCTCAGAGTGATATCGGAACCTCACAAACATCCCAGGAGAGAGTGGCTAGTCCAAGGCCACCATGCAGACCCTGCGGGCAAGCGAGGATTTGAACCCAGGCCCTTCTTTGTCCACGTATAATGCGACCCACTAGGTCACGGCTCCCCAACATGGTGCCCAGGGGGCACCGTGGACCCTGTTAGCACCTGAGGGCCAGTTTAGTGTAGTGGTTAAGAGCACGGACTCTGCTCTGGGAGAACAGGGTTCGATTCCCCACTCCTCCATGTGCAGCCATCTGGGTGACCTTGGGTGAGTCACAAGTTCTCTCAGGAGCAGTCCTCAAAAGAGCTCTCTCAGCCCCCACCGACCTCAAAGGGTGTCTGTTGTGGGGAGGAGAAGGGAAAGAAGATTGTGAGCCACTCTGAGACGCCTTCAGGAGGAGATCAGGGCCCTGCGGGATCTTTTACAGTTCCGTGGGGCCTGCAAGACGGAGCTCTTCCGCCGGGCTTTCAGCTAAGGAGCCGCCGCCACTACAGAGCCCTGGCCACTATAGAGCCCTGGCCCTTGGGTTTGACATCTAGCCGATGCCGCCCTTGTTTCAGAAAGATCACGAACAGAAGGACTGTTAGATCTCCGGGCCCATTTTTCAAAGTACGCCATCGTAAATAATTAATTGATCATTAAAAAGTAAAGGTAAAGGTTTCCCTTGCTCGAAAGCCAGTCGAGTCCGACTCTAGGGTTGCGGTGGTCATCTCCGTTTCAAAGCCGAAGAGCCAGCGCTGTCCGAAGACGTTTCCGTGGTCATGTGGCCGGCATGACTAAACACCAAGGTGCACGGAACGCTGTTCCCTTCCCACCGAAGCGGTACCTATTTATCTACTTGCAATTTCTTGCTTTCGAACTGCTAGGTTGGCAGGAGCTGGAACTAGAGACGGGAGCTCACTCCGTCGCAGCTCGGGTCTCGAACTGCTGAACTACCGACCTTCCACAGCCTGCAGTTCAGCGTCTTAACCACTTGAGCCACCGCAGCTCCAATTGATAATTACCAGCACTTTATAAGTCTGAATTTATAACTGGAACTGTTTTAGATGACTTTATGTAGATTTTAATTGTATGTGTGTGTTAAATTGTGTATTGATGGATGTGAGCAGCCCCGAGCCTGCTTTGCGGAGAGGGCGCGGTAGATATTAAACGGATAAATAAATGAATGAATGAATGAATAAATAAATAAATAAATAAAATCCAATCTCTTCTTCTCCTCCTCCTCCTCTTCCCTGCTCAGGCCTGAGCCCGTTCGCGGGGAGGGTGGGTTATAAATGTAAAGGAAGGAAGGAAAAAAGGAAGGAAGGGAGAGAGAGAGAGAGAGAGAGAGAGAGAAAGAAAGAAAGAAAGAAAGAAAGAAAGAAAGAAAGAAAGAAAGAAAGAAAGAAAGAAAGAAAGAAAGAAAGAAAGAAAGGAAGGCTTCTTGCTCCTTGTGGTCTGGGACTTCTGGGAGCAGGGGGTGGGGCTTGTTGCCTGTGCCCGCCCCCTGGGCTCTTTACTGCCGGTGCTCCGCTCTTGTGCGCTCCTGCAAGAAATGACCCCTGGTGGTGAGTAAACAGAGACTCTCCATTTGTACCCTCTCAGGTGTGGAGGTAACTTAATGTCTCTGGGTTACGTGGATAGTGCCGCCAGTGTCCCCAGCTTGCAACAAGCAAACCGGTCCTAAAATCAGTAAAAAACCCAAAACCTGGAGCCCCTGTAACATTTGGAGTGCAAACTTTTTTTTAATCTTCACACCCAGCGTTTTCTTGGCACGGGAACCCTGCTCGTAAATCCACTCTAATTGCCTAGCGGTGCTCGGGATGGAGGGGGGACTGGCTGCTGAGAGCCGGGCCCAGCGTGGAAGAAATGCGCTTTCCATATGAATCAGCCGGGTCGGGTGGACTGGAAGGTCAGAAGGCCAATGGGACACGATAAGGGCTCCGGCTGTGTTGTTCCAGCGGCCAGGGAGGCCTGTTGACAATGGGAGACGGCCCATAATTCACACGTCTACTACTACGTGAGGCTGGCCATGCCTGCTGGAAAGCCCCGCCGACCTGGGAGAGTGCCCTTCGAGGGGCGTGAGGAAAGACCCGCTGGTGCTGATATCGCCATGTTGAAAGACAACGGGCAGG